TATCTCATTGAGATAAGTGGATTGTTCATTAGATCTGAGAATCGAATTTTTAATTACTAACATTTAACAATATTAACCTACTAACCATTGTCCTTAAAAAAAATAAAAATAAAAAAAACAATGGTCTCTACTGCACATGTAAAGTTTAACGTGTGCAAAAAATTATATCACATCATTAAAAACGAGTTTACATTAGATTAATAAAGTTTAATTCACTATTTGAGTACCATATATTGCACTTTTTAGTTGTTATTAATGTTGACATGATGGTTTATTAAAATATTAAACTTTTTACAAGTTTAGAAAAGTGAAGACGTTGACCGAAAGGAAAAATTTTGTAAAATGTTAAATCATAAAAAGAAAATAAATGGAGGGTCCAAATAGGAACTGTGGCCTTTGACATAGGGACACAACCTTTGCATCAATTAGGATTGCTCATAATTTGGAGGAAAGTTGACAAGTGATATCACACTTGTAATTTTCAAATTGTGAATTGAAAAAGATAGTAATATTTATGTCACATGCTAGCTTTTTTTCGTAAATATTAAATAATAGTCAAATATATACTAGTACAAAAATTATAAATATTTTTTAAAAAGGAACATTCTTTCATTTTTTTAGTTGCATGTTCTACAAGTTGAACTCAAAATTTTTAATTTTATAAAATAAAAAAAAAAACTATTTAGCAATTATGATGTGTCTACTTTTAACTAATGTTAAGATAGTTTTTTTATTTTAATTATTATTTTACTAAAATGATTCAAGATCCTATTCCCAACAGACACCTTAAATTCGGCAAAAAATTCATGTCCTTTTTGGGCCCAATCAAAATGTCATGTCCTTATTTCAAACTTTGGCCTTTCTTTTCTTTTGGAATTTCCCCTGGCTTAACATGTGCGTAAACCATACGTGCCATTATGACGCCTAACCTCATAAAAAATATCAAAGTCACCCGGACCAGAACAAAGTCACCCGGACCAGAACATGGACCACCATGGTCCACGAACCGCCTGACCCCGGCCGCACCTTAACTGCACCCTGCCCCAGCCGGTTAGAACCGGCGGTGCGTCTCGCACTTATTATAAATACATCGCACCCCATTCTGTTCCTCCGGCGCCAAACTTTTTCTTCTTCCTCAGATACAAAGCATAGATTTTCAAGAAAAAGGACCTTCCTTTTTCCAATTCTCAATCCGATCCCCCAATTTCTAGGGTTTACAGATGACCCAGTAGTGTT